GCTTCTTGGACAAAGACGGGGGGAGGGAGCTACCTGCGTGTGCGTGTGCGTGTGCGTGTGCGTGTGCATGACAACTGAGCGTGTACTCAACAAACTGCAGTGGCCAAGGAATGTTCTACCACTTCTGAGCTGACTGAGGTTAAATGCGTACACAGATGCACACACGTCACACACATGTCAACACACAGCACTGTCGGGACTCCTGATGACAGAGGTTGACACTATGCTGGAAACTAGAGAGCAAAGGGCTTAACCCTTTCGGAGATGAGGCGGGGAGCAGGCGGGGGTGAGACACAAGCCAGAGCTTGGCACTGTCCCGTCCGAAGTGCAGAGCATGACCAAGCGACCAGGCTCAGAATTCACCCCTAACTTCCTGTCCTGCCTGTGTAAACAAAACCAGAATTTCTTTCTATTAAAATATTTAGTGTTAATATTTTAAGGTTAACTTCTGCACGTAGGTTCTTTCTCCTGGGCCACTCTGACAGAGCTTTGCAGAAATCATGGACTGCAGAAGGACCAGGCGCTCCGTATCCAGCTGTCCCCGGGCACAGGTGGGCGCTAGGTAAGGAGGACGGCACTCAGCATTTCACCGTTACGTCCCGTCCTCATTGGGAATTGGCAAATTGTGTCTGAGAATTTAAATATAACCAATGCCTCTCAAAAGCCAAGAGAGGATTTTTACACGCGCTTTTCTCTTCCAGTGGCTAAGAACACAGCACAGAGGGCCGCCAACCGGCGGGCGAGACAAGGTGGGAACCCTAGGTGCTCGGTGGGAGGCTCCCTTTCCCACCAGATGCTCTTATCTGTGACACCCTCCAGGTGGCATCCTAGCCACGAAGGCTCCAGGTTACATCCTAGCCACAAAAGCCCGAGCACAGAGCAGGCGGATCTGAAGGAGATGGTGCCACCCACTGGGGTAGTGAGAAAGGCCCACGCTGGCTGGGGACAACCCCGCAGAGGCACAGTGCTCCTGCTGCCTCCCCCACGGTGGATGGGGATGCGCCACCTCCCTTTGCCACTGTCGCCTTGTCCCTTCTGCCCCCCAAAACGTCACAGGAGCAGCAACACACTGATCAACGACACTAAAAAGGTGACACTTGCCTACGGCCATGCCACCCTGAACAAGCCCGATCCCGTCTGAGCTCGGAAGCGAAGCAGGGTCGGGCCTGGTTAGTGCTTGGAGGGGAGACCCCCTAGGACGACCAGGTGCTGTAGGTGTAAAAAGTAAAAAAATAAAGGATTGTAAGCTGACAAGGTCCTTGCAATCTCTGAGGTCAACCAAGGGTCGCCTCGCCTAAAAAAAAAAAAAGTGACACCAGTAGGGATCAAGCCGATGGCGGGCTGGGCACATCCTCAGGGGGTAAAGACGGCTGGCTCCGCAAGGGGTCAGGAGCCCCACGACCTCACCTGCTCACGCGGTACGGCGGCAGCCGCGGCAGAGAAACAGCTCCCGAGACGCCATTGGCTGACGCATCCTTTATTTGGGAAACTATTTAGTTTGCTTTTTTTGTTTTTTTTGGGGGGTTAATAATAAAGATAATATAGATGGGATAAAAATGCCTGGTGGAACCTGAGATTTTTATTGCCTGGGCCACAATACACTTACACACTCAATCCGAACTTTCTAAATTTTATAAAAGCTTCTTTCCGACGCTAACTTATCATACTTTATAAGTTCAGTTATTCTAAAGCCTGATGGCATCGTTTTTTTTTTTTTTTTCTCAGAAACTAGTAGCAGTGGAAGTTTATGAGGAAAAAAAACATGATAATGTCATTATTTTCACCTTTATTGTACATGAGCAAAATAATGACATCACCGTAAGATGTGAGCGTCATAGTAAAATTACGCCCAGAAGGAGTGCGTATCACATGTGGTGGTACAGGAGATAGTTACATATGTATAAGAAACTGGCTTAAAAAAAAAAAAATCTAAGAAATTTTTAAAAATGGAAATAACTAAGTATTTATTTACAGAGAAACTGGAGAAATAGCCAACAAAATCTTTCCTGTTTCTGAACTGACGTTAAAAAATCATGGTGTGGGGAGAGATGAGCTATGGGTTCGATCTAGATGGTGGACAGTACACTTACAATGCGTAGGCGAACTCTCTGAACTTGTTCTGACCACAGGTAAAAAAGACAGGACACCAAGATATATGCGCCACGCGATGGGACTTACTGATGGATTTTTGCTCAGACCCACTTCTTGGCCACACAGAGAAAGGACGTGCACCAACTTCTCTTTGGTCCTCTTCTGGAAGAGAAACACACAGGCAGGCTGTCACCATGGCATCCTGGGACCACATCTGCTCCAACGCTGCAGCCACTGGCCACTCGGGGCCAGCGCAGTGGAACGCGGCCGCTGAGACGGAGACGTAAAGCTCACGCAGACTTGGCGTGGAAAAGGACCGTGAGACGCCTCAGTGATAACTGTAAAACACTGATGACTTGTTGAAATGATATTTTAGACATATTAGATTCAGGAAAATATGTTATGAAAATTCATTTCTTTTATTCAGTTTCTTTCGACTTTTTATTTTGAAGGTGACTACTAGAAAATCTAAAATGAGGGTCCCCTTCTGCTTCTAGTGGACGGTGCTGACCTGAGTTTTCCTGGGGGGAGGCGAGGTCTGGAAAACGGCGCCGACCTTCTCAGTAGTCACCCCTGCCGTGGACCACCCACTCTCACAGGCCGTGGCTCCCAGCGTCAGCAGGGCCCCCGCCACCCAAGTGAGGCCTGTCATGTCACACGCACACGTCTTTTCCTCAAAGGCGAGACTAAGTGGGCTTTGTGCAGAATTAGAAAAACTTATTTGTAAGCCATAATAAATCGTTCTCAAGTCAGATTTAACTCCTTTTGGTTTCCTTATGGGTGGGGATCCTCTATAAGCCATCACGTCACATGTTCCAGTGACCCGGAGTCACTAGGTCTCGGGATGGCAGGTGGCTGGGTGTGAAAGAGCCTCAGAACCGGCGACGTGCCTCGAATCTCGGGGGAGTGACCGTCCCCCGCCCGTTTAAAGCGACTTTTCCCTTTCAGGCGGATCTGAGTTTGCGTGGAGGCCGCCAGGAGGCTAGCGTCATGGCCGTGTTCCCTGGGGGACGGGAGGCGCGTCGGGGTGACGGGCAGGGTTTCTGCAGAGGCCGGGAGCACCGCCAGGCGGGGACCCAATCCCCGTTCTGAGCATGAGAGCAGTAGGGCCGGTGAGTCCGAGCGACAAAGTGTTGGCTCCGACTCCACGTAAGAAGAAAGCGGGTCCCCTTCGGGTCCCCTTGGGTGCCGTGAGGACCTTGCCACTGGGGCTGGTGCCCGGACAGGCACTGTGTAGGCAGAGGGTGGGGGAACCCCATCACGTGACCGTGGGCCCCACCGGTCCCCCGAGCTCCCCGCCAGCCCTGCAGGCCTGGGCTCCATACCTGGGAATACTGGGGCCTCTTCCAGCTCACGGGGACGAGGACATTGGAGTTGGAGCCAGACGAGGTGGAGGACGTGCTCCGGGTGACGGCCACGGCCCGGGGCTTCCCGTCGGGCCCGGAAGAGCTCTGCAGCTCATCGTAGCGCCTCCCGATGATGGGCGTCTGGGAGAGAAGGCAGAGCCGAGGCCCCCGCTTGTCAGTCATTCTGGGCTGGTGACCGTGATGGCTTCCCCGGGTCAGGGGGAGAGAGGCCGAGTGTCCGGCAGGCTCGCTCTCTTGGAGTCCCCACATGCCCTGGGCCCGTCCCGTCTTACACGTTACCCCCAACTGCATGTTCTTAAATGTGGTTTGGAACCCCAAGTGAAGACTAGAAGCTAAACTTTCAGGAAAAGTCGGTTTTCTGGTGTTTCGGCTTGAGAGAATTTTTTACAGTTGTAACCAGACCAGAAGTCCGTCCCCTCTCCCCGATCTTTACGCTCTGGTTTAAAATTTATTTAAGTGATTGGGATCTTTCCGGTTATTTAAATGAATGTGGTCGGGGCCAGGTACCGGGGCAGCACTCTGGGAAGCCCACTTCCTGCGAGGCCTGGGTGTCGTGCTTGTCAGGCTCCGGTCCCAAGGGGCGTCCCACGCAGGAACCGGCTGGTGCCTACATCCGGAGGTAGGCGGCAGAAACCGACTGGTGATGCCACCCCAGCCCCCAAAGCCCATCCTTCCGGAACGGGGGCACCTCTGGGGTGTGCAGCTGACTGGCACACGCAGAATAAACTTAAGTCAAAGACGAAACGTAACCGCCTCCCTTCTCCCCACCAGCAACGTAAAAAATGTTAAAAATGGACGAGTACTGATTCAGTACCTTAACACTGTATACAGACTAAATAAAGGTAAAAGCATCACCGTGGCAGCAGACTAGAACCTCATCCTGATTACTAAAATGACAAAGGGGCAGGGAGACCACTGCGTGAGAAAACCTGGCCTGGACAAGAGTGAGGAGGTTCTGGTTGATTCCGTCAGTGCTGTCCATTCGGCAGTGTTGAAGACCATCTGTCATGTCCCGATCACGAGCCTGACCCCGTACTAGACCCTGACCGTGAGCCTGACCCCGTACCAGACCCTGACCGTGAGCCTGACCCCATACCAGACCCTGACCGTGAGCCTGACCCCATATCAGACCCTGACCGTGAGCCTGACCCCATAGTAGACCCTGACCGTGAGCCTGACCCCATACCAGACCCTGACCGTGAGCCTGACCTGTACCACAAGATGAATGGAGTGTGCTTTCTGCTTTGGGTGGGGGGCTGACGGGTCACAGGGTAAGAGACACAGGGAAGTGAAGTATTTTTATACCTGAGATTGAAACAGTTAAGTACAGGCTCCTGAAGGTTCGTTCATGGGCCAGTAGGTAAATATGACTACTTCCTGTTCTCTCTTTTCTCCCCGATCCCTTACCTTGGTCCCCTCGCCTCTCTTCCCAGAAACCCCTTTCCCCCAGGCAAGAATTTGGATAATTTTATGGTTTAAAAAGCAACGTTGCTTCAGGAAGCAACCGTAAAGGCAGATTCCGTGTTCCTGCAAATCTCGGTCCCTTGCTGGCCTGGCCGCCACGCAGGGAACAATCTGACAGCTGTCAGACGAGGAAAGCGAGGCCTGTGGTTTAAAGATGGCCATTTTAAAGTTATCTTTTTGAAAGTCACCTCTTATATAACTGCAGCTACCTTCTATTTTTAAAAGCTGCCAACTCAGAGCCCCAGAGCATGTGACACTTGGCGTGTCCTTAAAAACGAAGCCAACTCCGGCCTTGAAGTCTTTGTTGGAAGTGAAGGGACGACACGTCCCCCTTGCTCCAGGCCCCTGCCCTTGACTCGGCCACTACTGCTCGGGTCACAGCCTCCAGAAACAGATGACGCACCTCTGAAATGTCGAAGTGAAACTCCAGGGTTTTCCCGGGCAGCTCCTTTGACGCGCTGGCCCACACGCGACGGATTTCTATCTTCGAGAGGTCGCCGTGCTGGCACGCAGGCAAGACGAGGCTGGCCGAGCGAGAGACCACCAGCTTCAGGATATTCAGAGCTTCTCTCCAGTGGACACTCTGTGGGCAAATGAACGCTCAGTGGTCAAGAGCAATTCCATGGTTTCAAAACTCACGTGACGCTAACCAGCGAAACGTCTCGGGACCCGTCAGGATCCACCGATTTATAACGGAGCAGCAAGTGCCGTGAGAAAAGGCAAATGACAGAAAGAAAAAAAAGACGTATTGTATATAAGATGAGCTACATTTAAAAAACAGACTTTTAAAAAAGACCAATTTTGTCTATATTCAAACAAATGTAAAATCAGGTACCGTATTTGCCTCCTTAATTTGAAAAGCAAAAGACCCACAAAAAGACAATCAGTCCTCAGTGCGTTTATGCTACTGACCACCTGCTCTGTCTCAAAATGCTCCCCATCCTGGGTTCCCTGGCCTGCTCTCAGTCCCCAGGCGCTCCCTGCCCCATGCGCCACCCGGGCCCTGGGCCCCTGACCTCTGCCCTCTGCCCTTTGTGCCCCACACCTGCCGACCCCATCCAGGCATCTGAGAACCCTTCCCAGCCCCTCTCCCCCTCCCTTCAGAGTGTCCTCTCCTCTCCATTCCTTAATGGCTTACCAAAGGCCACTCTTCCTGGAACTCACTTTGCCCCCGACACCCCTCCCCATGGCACCCTGAGGTCCTTCTCCCAAAAAAATATTGAACATAGATAAACCGACTGGATAAAAGTCGTCATTATTATTTGCTTAGGTTTTAGGATAAAAGCACATGATATAAAACATATTTCCTTTGCTGTTAAGTTTGCACAAGAGGGGCCACGCTTTGAAAGGGAACTCGGCCACCTTTCAAGATAGGACCCAGTGCCAGAGGAGGCCGTGGGCCGAGGGAGGGACCAGTCGTCCGATGAAACCAGTAAATGGGGCCAGCGACTGGCAGGAAGATGAGAAGTGACCCTCTGTCTCCTGTGAGTGCTGTGAGCTGAGAAAGTGTCACCGAACACCCACCCTGTGATACATTATTGGAGCAATGCAACATGAAAAATGCCACCAAAAAAAAAAAAAAAGCTTGGGAATCGTTTTTAAGCATCGAATAATGTCAGCCAGTAACGTGACAGGTGAAGTGAGGATGGAGAGGCATGCCCGGATTTGCACTGAGTGGCTCTGTCAGCCAGGTCGACCAGAGAACACCTAGCACTTGCCCTTGAACTCTGAAACTCGCCAGGCACGGTGCTGAGACAGGAGGGAGGAGCGGACGAGGAGGTGTGGCAGAGGCGAGTCCGCGCTGCGGAGCTTGGCCTGCGCCCCTCAGCCCCACGGTGGCCCCACACCGGCCCCCTGGTCTGGGGAACCCCATCTTCAGCCTGTCGTCCATGTTTCTGGTTAACCTCAGGCCCTAGACGCTTGTTCTGGTTTGTTTGCTCGGTCAATTTTTCTTTATAAAAATTTTCATTTCTTCTCTTTTGTCCCCAGTGGTCTTGGGTATGGTGTGAAAGAATCCTGTGTAGCTGTTTGTTGTTTACCGAGCGTCCTGCTGGGAAGGAGGCCCATACAGAGGGAACACGGAACCGCGGGGCCCGGGTTCAAACACCGGCTCCACCATTTACTGACCGAGACCTTGGGGCCAGTTCCTTTCTCCTTTTTTCTTAATTTTTTTTTTAAAAAGATGGTTTATCATAGCAACATTCAAATATACACAGAAACAGAGACCAGTAAAATGAACTGCCCTGTAATTCTCGACCGATCATTTACATGTCGTCATTGTTTTTATTTCTCCCAACATTTTTTGTTTGTTTGTTGGAGTATTTTGAAATACATTTATACAAGTTTCTAACCTTAACTCCTTCCGCTCTAAAGCGGTGATCTGAACCCGTGACTTAACCTTTTGCATGCTGAACCCCCTGGCCTCTGACCTGGGGCGTGTGAGTTCCTTCCCCGTCTTTCTGAAACAAGAAACAAGAGTGTGGCCCCGCCCTCCTAGCTAGGCGCGTGCTTTAGGGTCTAACCCGCAGCCCCCTTTGGAGGAACGCACCAGGGCCCGGTCCTGCGTGCCTCCTCAGCAGACCTCGGGATCCCCGTGTGTCATGGACACCAAGGCCACTTGGATGTGCCGCCGAGCACAGGCTGCATGCGTGGCCTCGGGCTTTCTGGGCTGACCCTGGGAACCTCCCGGTGCGTGGGCGAAGTCCCCACTTACTCACTTGCACATACTTCTCGACGGTCTTCAGAACGCCCATGTTGAACTGCCTCACGGGGACGGTGGACAGGTCTGCGTAGCTGAGCAGGCTGTGGATGACCTGCAGCAGCGGCTGCTGCACGCTCGGGAGCCCCTTCTCCAGCAGCTGCGGGGACACAGCGAGAGTCAAGGGAAGGCAGGCGCCACTGGGGGCGCCAGAGTCCCCAGGACCGTGATGGTCTCATGTTTCCTTACGAGGGGTGAGACAGTCCTAAGGAGTCCTGAAGAAATGGAGACACTGTCAAGGGCAGCGCGGGTACAAACATGAACGTACGGATGTGACACCACACAGCAGGGCACGGCCAACGGGACCTCGTGGGGAAGGCGCTCAACACCTCGAGCTAGCGACAATTACGAGCGAAAACGACAGGTGCAATTTATTGGTTATCAAAGTAGCAAAGATCGAAAATTGATAATAGCATTGGTGAGGACAGAGGTGGGCAATCTTACACATCGGTGGAACGTGGACTGGATGATTTGGCAATGGAGGTCAAGAGTGCTGAAATGGTGCAAAGCTTTTGAAATCGTAATTACACTCATAGGGACGTTTCCGAACCTAGAGATAAGTATTCAGGTTTGTGTACGAGATTTCACCGTGGCATTATTTGTAATGGTAAAGAAAACCCACGGAGAACAAAACAAGAAAGTTCTGTAAGCTATTGAAATGCTGACAAATGGATTCGCAATAGACGGTAAATAGTATGAGGCAATATCATGCAGTCGACGGATTGACATTTTTAAAGGTGGTAAAGGACACCATGTAGCGTTAAGTGCCAGAGGGACTTCGTGCCACTTCTCTACAACAGGTGATGCCAATATCGATGGCGACGTGCTATGTAGAAGTAACACCAGACAAAACCCAACAAAGTGTTAACGGTTTTTCTCTCTAAATAATGTAATTATTGGATGATTTTTTCTTTCTTTTTTTTTTTACTTTTCTATATCTTTCGAATTTTCTGTTTTGAACGTATGCTTTTATAATCAGAAAAAAAATATCAAGGATATTTTCAAAAAGGAAAGCAAAATAATGAGAAAACGTCTGTGACAAACATCATGACGAAGGGTTGCGATTCAGAGTGAAGCATCGATAGAAAGGAGTCAGGTGAGTGCTGGAGACTCACGTGGACAGTGGCAGAAGAAACGGCCGAGCGGCCAACGCACGAGGCAACAAACAACTCCGCAAACCTAGCGTGTGGAAACGGAACCTACTCACTGGAAAGCAAACGCACGAAGAGAAGACTGTAAAAGCACCAATAGAAACATTAACGTGAAAAAAAGGAACGACTAGAATGATGGAATTTGGTGGGGGTGGGGGGAAGAAAAGACTATTCATACACTGTGTGCAGTATTGCAAATTGGGACAATCTCTGTTTCCCAAATGTGTAGATGAGCTTAAAAAAAAAAAAAATCCACATATCCATGCCCTTTATCTGGAGAGTCACTTTGAGAAATGCCACCAGAAGAAATGATCTGAATATACCTGATACAAAGTTTGCCTAAAAGGACCAGTTATGATAGAAAACAAATATGAACACGAGCCACAAAAGGTGCTGGAGAAGCCGACTGTGTTACGTTCACCTGACAGAATTCTCGTTATTCTAAGTGACACCATGTGAGTGATGTCACACGAGGACACACACACACAAAGTCGATGCTGAGTGAACAGAGCGGGTGTGGTGGGGGTACTGACCACAGCTACGGGACACCCTGTGTGCGCATGACCAACGCCTGCCAGGACCTTTGAGTGCCTGAAACAGGAGCTAACAGATGTCACGTATGGTGGGAGTCAAGTTCATAATAAAAATTTTGGTGGCAATTTGTGATAAGGGCTGAACAGAACAAATTAGGTCGTCCAGTTTTACTTATATTTTTTTTTTTGTGGGGAAATATATACCACATAGCATTCACCCTTGTAACCGTTTGTGAGTGTACGATTCAGTGGCAGTAAGTACACTCACACTGTTGTGTGGTCGTCACCAAGATTTCTTTCCAGAACTTGGCCACCATTCCAAACCGAAACTATACAACTAACTCTACACGGCCCCCGTCCCCAGCTCCTGGACACCACTGTTCTACTTTTTATCTCTCTAAAATTTGCCCATTTTATTATACGTCACGTAAGTAGAATCACATAGTATTTGTCCTCGTGCGGCTGGCTTCACTCAGCACGTTTGTGAGGCTCGAGTCAGCGCGTCATTTCTTACGTCTGCATAATATTCCTCGTCTGTACCTCCCACACGCCATTTGTATTTTTGAAACCTTCGTGTCTCGCAATCCAAACAAGTTTTGCCTCCATGCTCTCTCCAATGTCACCTCTGCAAAAACAGGTGCCATCGGCCTTCGTGAGCAGGTGTTTGTGTCGTCTATCCTGTACTTGGCTATGTGCTGGGGTGTGCATGCAGGCTTAGTCACTCTTGTGGGGACAGATGTGACCACAGTGGTAATCAGGTGGCACTGAGAGGCTCTTCGCAGTGCCAGAGGTGGAGGGGATGGAAAGAGCAAAGGCACCCAGGCTGCTGAGAGGCCGAGCCCAGCCCACACACACTGACCCACACCGCACACCCACACCCTGCAGGCTCCAGCACAGACGCTGATGGACGGGCGGCCGCCCACTTCTGGGCACAGGCTTCCAGTCCCGCGGGACCTTTAGGAAGCTGACTGCTGCTTTAACCTGTCTGTACCCCGAGTGGAGGACATAACGAAAGACAACTTAGAATAACTGTCCTCACCGCTTCTGAAAAGGCCCTTTTCCCGAAGGAAAAGCAACACTGAAAATGCTAAGAGGTGGCTGTTCTCAGCCATGGCCTTGGAGACGTCATGCCCTTGTGTACCAAGGTTACTAGGGACTGGAGGTGCTAAACGAATGTGTTTTGTCACTTGTCCCGTGTCCTGTGCATTTCTAGCACCAGCGTATGCAGAAGGCAGAGTAGGCGTTTGTGCTGAAACACGTTCGTAGGAGAACGAAAATCCCATTTCAGTTCTAAAAGCCACCGTGACAGATGTAGATAAGCGAACCGTCACTAAACTTATCGAGCCACTTAGTAACTTCTTCGACGAGGTCTGAACACCCAGGGGAGTTAGGGGAGAACACCCAAGTCGCTATGTGCACGGACAGGTTAGTGCAGTGAAAGTCTAGGCCTTGGAGGCAGCTGTGTCTCATGGCCAGAGTCGCCTCCTGCAGGAAGCTTCGGGCGGGTCCCGAAGCTGGCGGGGCCTCAGGTTCCGGGTAGTGACAGTATCTGTACCACTGGGTGGATGTGAGGACTTAAAATGATCATGGTAGCATCTCTGCTCATAGGTAATGGCGGCTCAGTAAATGAAGGTAATTATCAGTCCCATGCAAACATTTTTCCCGTGGAAACTCTTCACTAAAGAGCTCACCTCCGCCAGGTAGGTGACCATGTTCAAGGTGATGTCAGCGTATGCTTCATGAAGGTACCGGCAGACCACGCTCACCCAGGTGGCACAGTCCCTCGTGTAGCTGTGCGTTTTATAGAGAGTCATGACGTGTGCAAGGTTGGCAAGTTTGGGGTTCTTCTCTTCCAGACAGACCTTACAGGGGAGGAAAATCAATCAGAGGTAAAAGAGCCTGATGAATAGGCAGAAACGTGAGCAATTTTGCTGTAATTCGGGCAGTCAGGGAAACAAACTAACACGTTTTTTCTGGTAGGCTGCGGAAGCGCTTGTCTTAGGAGTCAGCTAACACGATTTTCACAAATTCTTCCCACCCGCTTTCTCAATAACGAAACCAAAAAGGCGGGCGCACATCAGCCACCCAGAATGTAAATGCTCAGCCGCATCAGGTGTCACCTTGGGCTCTGTGACACTCACCGCCCTCTCCGGGCCTGTTGGTCTCGGCCCAACACGGAGCCATACCTGAGCAATTCTTTCGGCTACGTCCTTACAGAACGGACTGGGGCTTTCGAAATGCTGAATCAGCTGGGGCAGGAGACACAGGACGCTCAGAGGAAAGCCTGGGTCGGAGAACAGACAATGGAGACGTGAGTACGGCGCATCTCAGCTGTCACCAGTGGGAACGCACATTTCAACTGTTACTCTGGGGTTGTGCAAACGCAGTCTGTAGGAGCAGCTTTAACTTGGTCTAACAAAATCCAGGAAAAATGCACGACCACATTTTTAAAAAGTAGAATAAAGTGAACCGAAGTGGTATTTTGAAAAATTTTCTTTTTAATCAAAAAAACACATTTTAAGAAAAACTGCTATAGAAGGACATAGGCTGACCAATTTAGGTCTTTTTGGTATAATCAGAAAGACTCTAAAATGCTGACGGTAGCTTAGCATCTCTGTGTTAAGCTCGAGCTTCATGACAAGAATCCCGGGCCACACGCCATGGTGTTAAAATTCTAGTTTGTTGACTTGATTTGAAATAACGGGGAACCAAGAGAGTTTTCAAGAGGAAAAGAAAGGCTAAGAAAAAAGAAAGATTTAGGAGTCAAGAAAAAATGTCTCTATGAGAGCAATGGAGTAAACTCACGGTATCTCCAATTTGATCTGGAAAGCATAAAGAAATGACCGATACCTAATATATTATTTCTGCCCCTATAATGTGGATATGACTAAGTATTAATTATTAAATTATTAATTTAGCAATTATTAAATATAATTAATTAACAATAATCACAACGTACATTATATAAAATGTTGAAAAAACAAACGAGCTAGTCCCAAGGAACCGTTTCTCGGCACAACTGCTAACAGCAGTCAGCCCACCTCATCTCTCTACATGAAACGAGGACGCCACTGCCACCGGACTAGTAGGGGGCGGGGCTGGCCTTACCGATGGCTTGGGAGGGGTCCACCATGGCCACTTTGGACACCGGCGTCAGCACGCTGAAGAGCTGCAGGGTGAGGTCCGTGGTGGTGACCGAGGTGAACCCTTTCAACAGCAGCTGCTGTAACCCCGCGAAGTCCGCCCACTTGAGCTGCGCCTGGAGTTTCTCGAGTTTTTCTCGGTTCTCGGCTTTATCGAGCGGCATGTGAGCCAGCAGCCTGTTCAAGAGCCTCAAGGCCATCAGGTATTCAAACTCAAAATCGGATTCCATCAGGGCCACCGTGACCCAGAAGATGGTAGCCAGCAGGTTGGTGGGGTGGTTTACGTGGGACGGGTCGGTGAGGCTGTCCTTCAAGGAGGAGGAGCTTCTGGTTTTTGAGGACAGGCCCTGCTGGGTGCACGCCTGGATTCTATCCAGTGTGGCGCTCCGAGGCGGGTCTGAAGACCGGTCGGCAACACCGAACTTCTTGGGCACCGAGAAGCTTCTCTGGTGCCGGCTCCGTTCTGCAGTCGCCGTGTTGCCACTGGCGGTCCCAGGGTTCACATTTAGTTGTCCTGTGCTTTTTCTGCTCGCTGTCAGCTTAGTGCTAGAGCTTAAATCCGGTGATGAAGAGCTGGGTGTAAAAATAAAAACTCTCAATTGAAAGCCAGCGTGCTCCAGGGACAAGCCTGTCCTTGTAAGATCCAATGACGAACAATAAGGGAGGGAAACACTGCTTCCTATTCGCTGTCTTTTCGGGATTTGAAAGGAATATGTTTCCTTATTCTTAAAGGTATGAAAAATAAAACTTAAGCTCAACGAGAAGATCAATCTTAACTCACCAATAAAACGATGACTAAACCTAATACTAACTTGCAGTTATTGAAAGGTTAAAGAAATAAAGTTTACTGCTGTTTGTTAGTTTGAATTTGGGTAGGAGTCACTACATAATAACATGTATCTGATAGGTACAAACTTTAATACTCTTATTAACTGACTGCTAAGGAGAACAGAAATGAAAATGATATTTCCGGGAAAGAAAAAAGTTAGTAAATGTTTGTGTCCAAGGAAGTTTTTTGCACTTATAAAAAAGTATGAAAAATGATTTCTAAGCCTGGTTCAGGCTGAAAATGTAAAACTCTTTACCAACATTTTTGATAAATTTTAGTGATTTAGATAAATCTGTGAGTTTGTATAAATATGTGTGATGTTAGCAGTCACATTAAGATCACCTATCCATAAAAACGCTCAACTTAAAAATGAAACAGCCTTCATCCGAAGAAAATAAGAACACTAATTAGAAAAGATACACGCACGACTATATTCACTGCAGCATTATTATGACAGCCAAGACATGGAAGCAACATAGGTGCTCACTCAGATAAACAGAGAAGTTGCGGTACGTATTTCAATGGAATATTCTTGGCCATAAAAAATAATGAAATCTTGCCATTTGCAACATGGATGGACCTGGAGGGTATTATGCTGAGTGAAATAATTCAGACAGAATAGGATAAATACTGTAGGTTTCACTTATACGTGGAATCTAAAACAAAACAAAACAAATAAAACAAAACAAAAACAGACTCATAGAAACAAAGGCCAGGAGATGGTTACTGGAGGGAGCGGGTGGGGAGTATAATCCATAATATTGTGGTAAATTTACACAGTGACACATGGTTTCCGGAATTAGTGGAGTGATCGCATTGCAAGGTATAAAAATCTCGAATCGCTATATCGTATACCTGAAACCAGTATAATATTGTATACCAACTATACTTAAAAAACTTAAAAAAAAAAAACAAAAAAAGACCCAATGTGATATAACATTACTGACTCAATTTCAAGCGAGATGAACTCAATTATATAAACAACATAGAATCATGAATGGTTTGAAATGAGTTATTAAACATTAGCAGGAGCAAAAGGATTTAAAAAAGAAGAAAGAAAGATCCTAATGTAGAAATTCTGCAAGTAAAATCAACATTTATTCTGTCTGTTTTTATAGTGATGGTTCAGTGAGTTTTACATATATTCATTTAAAAATATTTAGTTTTAGTTTCTGTTTACAATGTAATAGGACATTACATGAAATTTGAAAAAATACTCAAAGACATAAAAAAAATTAAAATTCATTAACATGTATATTATTTAGAGAGAACATCTGGTGTCTATTTTCCTGCCATTTTAGACTAGTATAATGTGTGTATATATTATGTGTGTGTATGACAGATAACTCCCTTTTTTAACTTAAGAAAATGTCATACATTCTTTTTCGGGTCATAAATGGACTTTGAAAACTAGATTTGTTCTTTGGACTTTGCCCAGATTCTGGGCGTCTCCCACATATTCAGCACCGTGTATCTGACCCCAAATGTCGCTCGGCTGGTTCTCACCGGGACAGTGCGGTGAGGAGGTCCCCGTTTCGCAGGCAGTCAGACAGGTTATCCACAGCGGCTTCCAGGGTCAGGAGTGCCTCCGTGACGTAGCCCTGTCAAACGTGCACAGAGAGGGTTTTGCACTGCTTGTAACCACCGCCACTTCCTGGATGTACATTTAACCAACGTATTGACATTCAAATAATGTCAATAGCACTGAAAGCCGATCAGTCATTGCTTATTTAATTTGCAAAGTCTAAAAACAAATCTTAAGGGCCATTGAAGAAATTCAAATGGCTTAGGGGTTAGCAGATAACCATAAAGATTTGTCTCCCTGGGTCTGAGGTCCCCACAGATCAATCTCATTTGAAATCCAGCAGAGAGGGGGCATCACTGAAGGTGGCAGGTGTGGCCCCTGGCCCAGGGGGATGGTGGATATTTGAAACGCTGAGTTACAATGTCTGAAGCCAGAGGTTAAGACATGAGAAATGAGGAGGTCTGTGCCTCAGACAATTCACACAGCACTCCCAAGGGCCGGCACGATGAGAAGCAGCTAGAGTCTGAAGGTGTGTGGGCCTCCTGAGATGCAGGCACACTTCTGATGGAAAGTAAGAACCTGGCCCAAGCTACAGAGCTGCCAGTGCCCTTGGCTTTCAACCTGCCCAGCTTGCCCGTCTCTGGGGCGCTGTCTACAAGGTCTTCTTGTGGCCTCTACTCCCTCCGTTACTTCTTCAGTTCTTCTGGGCTTAACGAAGGTTGACCAAAACAGAGAGGGATGCTGCTTTGCACAAAGACAACGGCGACCCCTTCTCTAGGTGGGAAGATCGCACAACTGCGTCCTAGGACGGTGGCAAAAAGACGAAATACGAAACAACTCCCCTGTCTGCCACCAAATAAAGCAATGATCAAACAACGACGAACGGGTCACCGAAGCACGTTCAGTTGTCAGCTTGAATGACACAGATACTATCCATGGCATTTCTAGAACAATGCTCCTGGAATGAGTTTTGTAAATATAAGAGTCAACCTCTAAGTTTTTAAAAAATGTGAGTTCTAACTATCCGAAGGGCTGGGAAAATTGGTGAGAGACAGACACTGAGAACCCGGCTCTGCAGCGACAGGCGGGACGAGGCCGGGGGTCTTCCCTCCCCTACCTGAATCTCGTCGCCATGTTCTCCGATCACCTCCACCAGTCTCGAGAGAAGGTCGGACAAGGCGTGCGCTGACAGAGGCTGCTTGAGCGCCCGGAATATCTGGAAGGACCGGCAGGCGTAGTGCCTGGACGAGCTCGCCAGTGCCGTCTGCAGCGCAGCCTCGCTCAGGTGCTGCTCCAGGTGGAAGCCTAGGACAGCGAGAGGCCAGAGACCAGGTCAGCCGCCGCCCTGCAGAGTCTGGGCCGGGTTCTCTGACGGTGGAAAACAGGCCGGCTGTGCAGGGAACGTCCTTACTTAAAAAATAACCATTACGAGAACAAACACGTACATCTTAGCAAATCTCAAGGAGGCGTCGAGTGGCAGAGTCAGAAGCTCTGGAGCAGATGGCCCCGGTTTTGAATGAGAGATTTTGTAAGTCTGGGAAAGAAACTTAACGCCCCTGTTTCCTGATCTTTAACTTGTGAATAACAGCATCTATCTCCCGGAATTGTGAAAATTAAACAACTTAAAAAGTGCTTAGGAACAGCGTGCGCCACGTCTGTTTTCATGAGTGTATTATTTATCACACTCTCAATTTTTTGATGTTATTCTTCTGTACTACTTTGTACATTTTTTGCTAGAGCAGAAAGTATACATGACACGCACTGTCGGGTGGTCAGGTGCATCTGAAATAAACTTCTAAAGTCCCCTCTGAATAGTCTTCTGCTATCGGTTCTTCTCCACATTCCCAAATGTGTAGGAGTATGGGGAAGAATGAGCTCCATGACAGAAAAACCCTGAAGGTGGGATTTGGGGAAACGGGGTGCAGTACCTGACTTAGAATCTTTAAAGACGGACACAACGTGACGCAGAAAGTTCGTGAGCTGTTCGGCACTCTTCGAGTTTTGGTTTTTGGGTGTGATGTCCTCGTGGCACCAAAGCGGACCAAACGCCCTTAAACGAAACACACACAGTGGCAAAAATGTAACTGTCATTTTGCATTTTTCAAATCATCTATGCAATTCTAACTCTAAAGGTGCAAATATTTGTCTTTAAAATGCTACTGCTTAGTTTGGGGGTGAATTTCAGTCTCAGAAAGCTTAAGAGCATACTCAGAACAGATCTAGCAAATATGGAGGCAAACTTTCCTCATGTTTTACTCACCAAAGCAAAACCTCACAGCATTTAATCAAAAACGGAAACCTGTCAATTGACCAGGACAGCGTTTGGCACGTAATGGATGCTCCGTAAGTATTTGATAAAGAAAAGGATAAAAATGTGAAATAAAATGTAGGTGTAGACGCAGACTCAGTGTGTGCGTGTCAGCGTTTGCGGAGGTTCTGCTTTCATCAGGGTCGCAAGGTCGGGTTGCCAAGGACCACAAACCAAATTAGATATGGCCCTTGTCGTCTACCTGGTTTTCCACAGTAAGAATGGGATGGAGCCCGATGGGAGAATTTCAGAGAACACCCTTCCAGTGCATGACACCGACAATGCTAAGTGGTGACAATAAGCATTCCAGAATCCGAAGTGCCCTGTGTGCGTCACCGTCAGCCCCTTCCTAAGTGTCCTGTATGTTGAGTCCCACCTGGAGCTGATGGCTAGGCCGAACACCCTGGGTGAGCAGAGAAGGTCCCCATTGCAGCTGCCCTTGGGTCAGCTGTGGCCAGGACCCTTGGCTTTGGGGGTGGCGGGGTGACCTGCCGGGTCTTAGGACTCCTGGGTGCGGGCAGCTCTGGGAGCTGGGGCGAGGCCTGCTGACCCCAGGTCGCCCGTCTCCTGCCTCCGTCCACTGCGTGTCGTCACACATGAAACCTCCCTCCCGTCAACTGTGGCATCAGTGGGATCTGAGACAACCGCCACTAGTGTCTGCCCTGTACACACACTCCAGGAACTGTAACTCGGCAGAGAAACTGGAACGTGGCCAGACCTCCAGGCTCACTTTTCCATCTGTCTGGTTTTAAAGGGACGGCGTTTCCCCAAAAGACCCACCTGCCAACAGCACCCCATCTCCCCGCCCTCCTCACCTGGTTGTCAGAAACTCGATGAGCTTGTTGGCCTTCTCATCTGCTTCAGCCGCCGCATCCACGTCGTCTACGTCTTGCGTCACCTGGGGGAGGTTCCCGCTGCTGCCCCCCAGACTGATGCTGGAGGAGGTGGAACTGGAGCTGAGCCCCGAGTCTGGCACCGGTGATGACTGGTCCTCCCTCAGGAAGTCAAAGCCACCTGGTGGAGAAGAAAGTCCAGGTGGAGTGTGTTGGGCAGGGTGCGTGACGAGGCCAGGAGGTGAGCTTGCAGAAGGGTGTAGTCATTCAACTTTTTGGAGAAAATGTTTAATTTTGGCTATGGCTATGGTTAAACGGGACTCGTATCCTTTCCTGGCTCATGGAATAGTTGCACCGCTGTGTAAACCAGCGTGCAGAAAACCATGTGCTAGAGCGTAATGCAGACATAGGTGACATTATGCCCCATCGAATCATTTCCTACTCTGGCATTTGAATTGATGCTTTCTGCAAAAGAAGTGGTGTGTGTTTCGTGTGGATCTGAGAGCAGCTACAGTTGAAATGGGGTGTTCAATAAACATGACAAACATTCATGAAACGGAGACATTCTCCAAGTGTCATGTGTGCCACAGACTCAACCATTCCAGCAAGCCATGGTCTGTCCTGCTTACGGTTATTGTGTTTTTTGTTTTGTGAATCCCCACTCTAAACCATTTACGCCACATCACTGGTTAGTGGATGCCCCATGACGCGCTCAGAGATATGCAACTTAGCGACATTATAATTTTTTCAGCCTAAGGACATGAGCTTAATGGAAAACATCCTTATCCTGGGGAGTTGGAAGAGCCAGAACTCTGTGGATTCTTTAAATTAAGAAAAGAGTTTTGTGTCTCTAAAAGGCTGTCGATAGATTATTTTCAAGTAAGTGTAACATGATTCAAAATAAAGATCTTAAGACAGAGACCTAACAATAACATGGAACATATATTTGAAATATCCAATAATGAAGGGGTCATATTTGTTTCCCTGAGACACACGCTAGCGTCTCTCAGAAGTCAGTGCTGAGTACAAACGATGAATAAAAGGCGTCCTCTTCAAGGTGATGCAGAAAGCACGTGGTGACGCGAAATGCGAAACTCTGTGCCCCGTGCCCACACAACGCATGAATAATCAGGTACCAGAGGCCCCGGAACCCTGTCAGTGCATCATCATTCTAAGGTATCTAGAATGTTCCAGTTCTACATGAAACCCCTGGTTCACTCTCTCGGGAAAGCTTTCGTGAATAGCTGGCCTTAGCGGAGGAATTTCTTTGACTCGGCTAATGCTTTCTTGCTCTCCTTTCTACGCAGAAATGCTCGGTTTTGACACAGCACTGGTTTTCAACAGACGTCCACTCGTTAGCGCCTTCCAGAAGAGTCAGCCACTTGATAAAGTGAGTTTTCCTTCTGGGAGGCCCCAAGGAGCACGGTGGAGCCTCCGGCGCTCTCGGGCGGCGAGAGGTGGCCGTCCTCTGCGTTTTCGCCCTTCGGGCCTCCAGGCTGACCTCTCGACTGATGGACAATTTACCTTTCAACATGTCAGCGGGAATGTAATGAGACCAGCAATTATTATAATAAGGAAAGTATATCTGAAAATATTCAATCACGAAGAAGGATTTTGACAGGCACGTTAACGTCGGGTGAATGGTGCCCATTCACTGGGCTAGGGCTTAATTACTTGGGGGGCAGGGTAAGAGAGTCGGGGAGTCCACTGGGGTCCTCTGACACCCTGAGTATTCTCCGCACCTGTGACCCTGTCTCAGGCCCTCCCTCGGCCGCGCCTACGTTACCTGTGTAGAGGTACTCGGGTTGGCAGGCCGGCCGGACCGTGAGCATCTTTGCCTCGCCCGCCCCCTGCGTCTGCAGGAGCACGGAGGCGACAGCGTGGAAGCTGCTGCTGCAGGACAGCGCGATCAGCAGGTGAAGCAACAATTTTTTGCTGTGTTCAAAGACTTCGGGCCGGTAATGGTCCAAACCTGGAACGAGATGCAGAGGATCTTGGCACAAACCCATTTGAAATGAAGCTCACTCAGATTCGAAGAATGGCGAAGGTTCTAGAGTCCCTGGGTTGGGGGGGGGTGGGTTCTTGTTTTAAGAATGTTTACTCTTCATTGTGTTTGTTGCCAACATAAACGAGTCAGGCTTGGGGACAATAAAATGCTTTGTTCCTTAAGTCAGATGCTCTCGTGAAGTGTGGACAGCTGGACTGCCTGACCTCTCTGACATGGCTGTCACCCTTCCCACTTTGCTGTACAACTCGGGCGTTTGACCACCTCGACGCATGGTCCAGCCCCCGAAAAGGCCCGATCCGTTTGGACATCTTCAGTCACCGCGTGCACAAGGCACCACGCCATGTCACGGCAGGAACAGGACAGTTTCGATGCCTGACTGACGGACATTTAAGAGCAGGTGTCACAGAAAGGCAACGGGAAAGGGAGGAGACTCAACATTTCGAAGAGAGGCGAGCACATGCCAATGTGGACGGAGGGCCCCCTGGTGTCCCCGACAGGGCCTCGCCCCTAATGGCAAGCGCCCGCTCAGGCCTGGCCTCACCCAAGAAGACGGCGTGCAGCAAGAGCGGCAGGTGCAGGGCCCAGTCCTCTGTCACGCTGTGGTCCACCACCATCTCTGTCATAAAGATCACGGCGATGTTGCACCTGCCCAACGAAATGGCGGTTAAGGACGCATCTGCAGGGGACGGAAGCGCGTCCACAGGCTGTGAAGTCGCAATCAAAATACGACTCTTATGACTCGTGTCAGAGAAGTGGAACTTAAGTCGTGACGCTGCACAGAACCAATGCCCCTCGAGCTTGTCGCATAGCGGAGTCTACCTGTCACTCGGAAGTAAGCGCTGAGGGATGAGGAGAATTAGAGGACAAAGGTCCCCTCGCCACGTTGCTTACAACCTAAAACGTGTGACAGAACGAAGACTCACATCGAGGCGACATCAAAGGAAAATTCAAAGGGCAGCAAGGCCGCTTCGCGCACTGGTAACGCTCGACCAGACTCTGCCCATATGCTGAGGGCTGTGACTCAAGTCACCCTGTGGTTTCATTTGATGGGACGTAGAATAGACCTGCTGCTTCTTACAGGGAGAAAGGCCCCGTCAAAGCTAAGTGCTCCCTGCCCTCGACCTGCACATGTTGCTCACCTGTGGAGGGGCCCCCGAGGGGTGACGGTTTCTGGGAGGTAGTCAACCAGGGGGGCCCAGCACCCCCCCGTGGGAGGCATTGGCAGGGGGTGCGGCTGCTTGGTCTCCGTGATGGTCAACAGCCAGCCCGCGTAGGGAGAGACCGAATCATCTGCGGGTGAGAAAGACAGCGTGTCTATTTTCAGGGAGAGAATTCCGTTTTCCCTGCCTGGTGTTTTAGGAAGACTCCTAGAGACTCATGCTTGCAAAAATAACCCGCCAACCATTCAGTCTGCTGAGTGCAAATTATATGATCAAATGGGTTAGAATTACTCGATTAGGTTTCTTTCACCGCTTTATTTTTATGGACGCTTAATTTATAGTTATTCATTACAGAGCGATAAAAATACTGACACGCAAGAAGAAACACATTACATCACGTGAACTCCTATCACTGTGAGAACTTGCTTTTTCTCTAACCTCCTCCATCTCAGTAAAATGCAATTCCGTATTTGCCGTTTGCGCAGGCCAGGGGCCTTCACGTCATCCCAATGTCTGTCCCAGCTTACTTTCAGCTCATAATCGTGACAATGATGACAGTAATAATAATAAAAAAATGACGTGGGAACGAAGACAGAGCTATGCCAGGCACAGGCCTACGCATTTCACACGCTAAGAGCCCAATCGTGGGCACCCGATGTCCCTACTTTATGGCGAAGAAACTGAGGTTAAGTGACTCGCCACCATCCACACAGTCAATGAGCTCTGCCTTCAGAACAGGACACTTCCCCCCGTCTCTGAGAGAACCACGCTCCCTAAGCCACCACCCACTCTCACGGGTTGGTGCAACAGCCCACTGTCCCCCGGCCACCACCCTGGCCCTTCATAGCCTGGTCTCCACGGAGCCACCATTTTAAAACACGTATTTTTTGAATAAACCAATGAACTTCCTCAATAATGTCTGTAACGTAAGCATGGCCACAGCCACAGAGCCCTTTCCGGTGACGCTCTCCACACAGGCCAAGGGACCATGACACGGCCTGGCTTCGTCCCAGGGCAGGTTCCAGTGCCTTCAGGGGAAGGACGCATTGCATCATCCTCAGGCAATTTCTCCAAACGTAGTTCTTCTCGGTGGCACCTTTGAAAGGCCGTGAGAGGCAGCGGGTTTGACGCAGCTGGTCCGGTGTAGCGCCAGTGGATGGGTACGTGAAAAGTGTGGCTCTGACCAGGACAGGCACTGGAGCCACGCATAGCCCACTCCTCCTGGATGCGAGCTCAGGGCATCCTTCGGAGGAGGGCTGGCCCTCTCTCAGAGTGCAGGCGTTGGCTCCTTCTCACACTGACAGCCAGAGCCTAGAATTCTCTGCCAGGGTGCATGGCACAACGCCTTAGGTGGGACAGAATTTAAAGCAAGTGTAGCAGTCACTCGTGGCAGCCCTCTCAGTAAATTACCCACAGGATTCTCGCATTCAGGAAATTAACGTTAATAACCGGCCAGGACGAGGTAGCTGCAAAATGCCCTTGTAAACGAGTGACTGGCGAACTCTACAGCAAAATTTGAAAGTGGTGTAAAAATGACAGAATACGGAAGAATTGATAAAACCGAATTTGTGAGATTCTGTTCGGGAAGGATAGACTGCTCTTTGTCTCAATGATGCTCTCAGATATATATCTAAGAAACGAAAATGTGCCGAGAATGAGTAAACTGGCCCAAAACTGCTTTCTACAGGTAGGTGTAAAGCGTTGTGATTCCAATGCAGTCCCGCTTAGCGAGCTGCATCCTCGTCACGGAGTTAGATACATTAGCACAAGGCCTTGGAAAAGAATCCAGATGTTTTAAGTAGTTCTGAAAATAAAAAGAGCTTACATAATTTTGGTAGAAAGCTACTTCACAGACTAGCTCTGAATCTGTTTGCTTGTCCATTTTATTCAAGGTGCTCTAGTTTGTTTGTTTTGTTTATTTGTTTTTAAATAGAAAATATACTTAAGAGGCTGCACACAATCCTTCCTTTTGGATAACAGAGTACTTGTTTCAAGTGCCTGGCCATGAGGATTTGGGTTGAGCCTACGAGCCTTTTCTTCTCCTGTGGCATAGGCCCTAGCAGTCTGTGGCTAGACTCAAAAACGCATCGGGGAGGGTGCCTCACCAATGTCCCAAGGGTGCTGGCACCCGATCAGACCTGCTGCTTCCTCCGAGATCAGCCGCAGCCAGGGCCTGTAACCCGACCAACCAGACAAGGATCTTTGTCTATATTTTACGAACTTTCTGTGATGAGATCTGTTTGCACAGCTTGATTTCATTTTCTCTTACAATGAGTAATCTAAAATAGAAGCTCTCAGTGCCCAAACTAAATGCTATGAACTCTGATTTCTCTGGTCAATACCAGTAATCACGTAAAGAACGTTGTCGACACGTGACTCAGTCAAATTCTATACCCCAAATTTTCCCGGTAAAGTGTTGTTTATACTGATACAACAAACTTAAAAACGTTTCTAGGTAAAATAGAGGCTCTACTGATCACATTAGACTTTTTTATTTCTTATCTCAATTCACAAATTTTTTTTTCCTCTTTATAATTACTTGTGTGACTTTTCTCTTTGTGTATCAAGTTAGTGATCTGAGTTAATTGTTATCTCATTTCATTCTAATTACCCTTCAAAATTCACTGTTTTAATACAAGAAATGTGAGGTTTTACTACCAGGGGGCTCTAAAGATATATTTTTGAAAAGATTTATATTTTACTTATTATAGTGTTTCTACCAAACTCCATGTCCTGTACCCAGAACAGAGAGAGACACTTTAAAGGAACCAGCTGGCCAAGGGCAGAGACACTGCTAACGTAAGCGTCACAGTTGTGGCGTGTTTCGTCACACTAGGCCTGCCATGTTCTGGGGGCGTCCGGATATGACTACTTAACGTCTTCACGATTCAATTCTTCTGTTCTCAAATTCCGGGTGACAATTTATTACGTAGCCAATCAGACTTTTCTTAAAACAACGACTTTCCATTTCTCGGGACTACGCATCTGAACAATCCAGTCCCTCCTGGGACTTGTGGCCTGTGCTTCCGAGAGTCAACTGTTTGGGGCACAGAAAGGACGGGAGGCACAGACGGCTTTGTTTACCTCGTGCTGACGGTTCGGGTAGAGAGTTTTCTGGGGACACAGCTGAAAGGGACCCTGGGTGGGAGCGTGGCAGTTGCACACGGTTTTAGACAGCCCGCCCCGGTGTGTTGCATGGCCGAGAATCTGCCCCGTGCCATTAGCATGGACAGCTGGACGGAGCTGACATGGGGACCCGAGTGCTCACCACACTCTGCATGCTTCCCGTAAAAACAAGCCAGGCCTCGGCATTGACTTCCCAGTGAACGGAACTCATGAAATATCACCGCATTTATGATTTCCAGCGAAGTAGACACATAAATTCCACCCGTTAGTTTACTG